ATAATTACACGTTTATCTTTTGATGAAAGTTCTAAAAGTTTGAAGAAAAAAATTTAGAAAAGTTATCCAACGAAAGATTCCATATACGTAAACGATAAATTCTTTCTGTTTTAAGAAATTTCACTGTTAATATTGTTTCTAGAAAAAATATTTTGAAACTTCAATCGAAAGAAAAAAAAGAGAAAGAGAGAGAGAGAGAGAGAGAGAGAGGAAGTTATTTTATCTTAATAATCTCTTGCTCTCTTTCTCTTTGAATACTTTTTAATTGGACCAAAAAGATCGTTCGATTTTCGTTCCTACGAGTAAAATGATTGGATTTGTAAGAATGAAATTTATTGAGAAACATAAATTTGACATGTTCGAGTCGTTCCAGGCGACGAACCATTTTGCACTCAATTAAGTCATACACAGTAAATAAGTGATATATTTACTAATTAATCGGGGGTTGTAAATAGAGAGAAGGTAAACTGCCAAGAGCGTCATTAAGCCATAGCGAAAGCCCAAGCGAAACGCGCAGCTGTGTTTGCACGGCAGTATTTTACTATTGCAAATATGGTCTTATGCGTGTATATTCTGTATATCTATGTGTGTGGGTGTATCTGTATGTGCCGTGTTAATACTCAAATTCTCTTCTATATATATATAATATATATATATATATATATATATATATATATATATATATATCTTTCTCTTGCAGAGATACACTCTCCATCTTACTTTCTAGTTCTTGGTGTCTTGGGAAGGGTGGGAGGGAGGGAGAGATAGGGGATGACAAGAGCACACGTTCACGGGAATGTGTACATTAAGATTAAACATTAATCATTGGTGATCTTAAATGAAACCTTTGAACCACACGTTGCTGATATAAGCTCTTCTTAGAAGCCTCGTTGTAACGTTAATCACCATGAGAGTTAAACTCATTCCCTCTTGTTAACACTCAAACCCTCCCTCTCTCTCTCTCTCTCTCTCTCTCTCTCTGTTCTATCTACATATCTATTTACCTATATGACACATTAAACGCGAGAATTACATAAAATATCGATGAACGTACAATAACAATGATCTTTTTCTCTTTATATCTTCTTCTTCTTTTTCCTTCATTTTCTCCTCTTTTTTTTTCTTCTTTGAATTATTTATCATTCCTCACAATTAATTTCTCGTCTTTGGAATAACAAAGATTCGCGATTGAGGATTTTTCGAGTGATCAGAAGTAAAAAAAAAGAATTCTTTCTCAGCTTTAAGATAAATGAGACAAATAAAATTGGTAGCTAAAAGCGAGGAAAAAAGAAAGAGAAAGAAGAAGGAAAAGAGAGGGAGAGAGAGAGAGAGAGAGAGAGAAAGACAGAGAGACAGAGAGAGAGAGAGAGAGAGAGAGAGCAAGAATAAAATGCGTGAATAATAATGTTCGTCGATCCAGGCGAGATAATATTGTCTGTCATTTTCCTCTAGAAGATGGTACCAACAAGTAAGCATCATTTCCTAGAGATTTTAAAAGCTAGAATAAAATAGAAGAGAAGAGAAGAGAAGAGAAGATAAGAGAAGAGAAGAAAAGATAGTTACGAGATACGATTCACCGAACATTATAAGAGTTCCATCTATCTCGTAGGACGAGGAGGGGTTGGTGGGAGAAGAAAGGAAGAAAGGAAGAAAGGAAGGAAGGAAAAGAAGGATTCTCGGTTCTAGGAGTACTCTCGAAATTTCGATGAGCCTCACGAAAGAAACGGCCATTTTCTTTTTTCTATTTTTTCTATTTTTTTTTATTTCTTTTTTTTTTTTTTCATGAAAACTACCGAATGTCCAAATGCTGTTTTTCCACGTTTCTTATGGCATAACGTAGCAGGATGAACGACCTAGGAAGAAGAGTTAGAGGAAAAGATAGGACTACTACTCTTACCCCTCCTATCTATCCCACCTAGCTACTAGTTCTAGCTATAGGTAGATAGGTAAGCTAGGTAGCTAGTTATCTCTCTCTTCCTCTCTCTCTCTCTCTCTCTCTCTTTCTCTCTTTCGCTACCCTCTCCACCTATATCTTCTGTACTGGTTCATGCAAAGAGCCATGAATCTGGAGCGTGAAATCGTTTGATTCGCTTCACGGCCTCGCAGTCACATCCCCTGCTCATTCTAGTAGTCCTACTCTTGCTCTCTTCCTACCGATGCCCATCAAGCCCTATACACCACCGATCTCGTCCTGCTACTCTCCTACCACTCACTCTTTCTCTCTATCTCTCTCTCTCTCTCTCTCTCTTTTTCTCTCATAAGCGTATCTTTCTCCCAACGTCGAATTATTCTCTCTTGCAATTATATATCCATATATGTATGTATACTTGTATGTATGTATGTATGTATATATGTATGTATGTATGCATGCATGCATGTACGTATGTACGTAGGTAGATTGGTGCACTTAACAAAAAGAAAAAAAAAGAAAAAGTTATAAAAAAGAAAAATATCTTCACTCCATGTTTTTTATGCGCCACTTTCAGTGGGTCAGCTCTTT